CAGGGACCGGCTCAGACCTGCCTTCCTCTTTGCTTCTTATCCTCACATTCCACGGCACTATACTATTGACTAGTTTGCTTCTGTTGTGCTGTGTTGTGCTGGGTCGCTCAGTCATGTCCGACTGTTTGCAACTCCAAGGACTGTAACCTGCCAGGCTCCTCTGTCCATGGGATGCTCCAGGCAAGAATACTGGAGTGGGTGGCCATGCCCTCCTCCCGGGGATCTTCTCAGGCTGCCATAATAAACAGCAGACTGTGTGGCTTAGGCAACACATGCTGATTTTCTCACAGTTCTGGGGCCTGAAACCCAAGATCCAGGTGCTAGGGTTGGTTTCTGGTGAGAACTCTGCTCCTGGCTGGAAGCCAGCTGCCTTCTCCCTATGTCCTCACATAGCCTCTCCTCTGGGTTTTCACAGAGAAAGTGCTCTCTTGTATCGCTTCCTCTTCTCACAAGGACACTAGTTATGCTAAGTCCCACCCGCATAATGTTATTCATCTTTAACCACCTCCCTTAAGGTCCTAAGTTCAGATACAGTCTCACGGGGGTTTAGGACTTCAACATTTGAATTTGGGGGAGACATAAGTCCTTCTATAAAAACTGTCTTACAACCTTTACTTTCATAGAAAAAGCCAAGGATGTAAATATATAATTGATACTCTGACACTTGTGAAAGGAGTTAATTAATGCCCGTTTACATTTACAGTGGCTCAGTGGTAAAAGATCTGCTTTCGATGCAGGAGATGTGTGGGAGACGTGGGTTCCATCCCTGGGTGGGGAAGATCCCCAGGAGTAGGAAATGGCAATCCACTCCAGTATTCTTGCCTGGAAAATTCCATGGATAGAGGGGCCTGGTGGGCTACAGTCCATGGGGTGGCAAAGAGTTGGACATGACTGAGCAAGCATGGATATATTGTATACAGAGCTGCATGGAATTTTTTTTTCCCCCAGGACAATTTAGACATTTATCCTAGTGTATGAACAACTGGATTCAAGCCCAGGCTTCCAATTTGTGTGGATATTTCAACATTTTCTTTTCTGGCTATGTCTATGTCAGTGTTAAGTCTATCAGAATATTCCACACTGAGCACTCTTCTAATCAAAGTACACTTGTTAGTACAGCTCCTGGTGAGTATACTTTAAAGTGATTATAGTAACATAGTATGGTTTGTTTACAAAACTATGGCTTATAATTAAATGTGGGTGTGAATCCAAGTTGCCACTCTCTTGCAGTTTCTCTAAGTCTCCTAAGTCTGACAATCTCAGAAGCTGGAGTTAGGATTGTTTCAATTTCTTCTTTGTATTATCTGTATAGTTGATTTATACTGTTGTCTTTGTTTCAGCTGTACAGTGCAGTGATTTGGTGATACATATATACACATACACATATAGAAGTGGAAAACGTGGAAGCAGTAACAGATTTCATTTTCTTGGGCTCCAAAATCACTGCAGATGGTGACTGCAGTCACAAAATTAAAAGACACTTGCTCCTTGGAAGAAAAGCAATGACAAACCTAGACAGCATATTAAAAAGCAGAGACATCACTTTGCCAATAAAGGTCTGTCTAGTCAAAGTTATGGCTTCTCCATAGTCATGCATGGATGTGAGAGTTGGACCATAAAGAAGACTGAGCACTGAAGAATTGATGCTTTCAAACTGTGGTGTTGGAGAAGACTCTTGAGAGTTCCTTGGACTGCAAGGAGATCAAACCAGTCACTCCTAAAGCAAATCACCCTGAACATTCATTGGAAGGACTGATGCCTCAGCTAAAGCTCCAATACTTTGATGCGAAGAGCTGACTCATTGGAAAAATTCCTGATGCTGGGAAAGATTGAAGGCAGGAGGAGAAGGGGATGGCGGAGGATGAGATGGTTGGATGGCTTCACTGATTAAATGGACATGAGTTTGAGCAAACTCTGGGAGATAGTGGAAGACAGGGGAACCTGGGATGCTACAGTGGAGTTGCAAAGAGTAAGACACAATTTAGTGACTGAAAAGCAACAACAAAAATACATATGTATATGTTTTCAGAATCTTTTTCCTTACAAGCTGTTACAAAATACTGAATATAATTCCCTGTGCTATGTAGTAGGTCCTTGCTGATTATCTAGTATCTACTTTATATATTGTAATGTATATATGTTAATCCCAAACTCCTAATTGATCCCTCCCTGCCTTTGTCCTGATGGCTCAGGCGGTAAAGAATCTGCTGCAGTGCTGGAAACTCAGGTTCCATCCTTGGGTTGGGAAGGATGGCAACCCAAGGAGAAGGATGACCCCCTGGAGAAGGAAATGGCAACCCACTCCGATATTCTTGCCTGAGAAATCACATGGACAGAGAAGGCTGGTGAGCTACAGTCCATGAGGTCGCAGAGTCAGACACGACTGACCAATTAGCAATTTCATTTTCACCTTTCCCCATTGGTAACCATAACTTTGTTTTCTATGTCTGTGGGTCTATTTCTGTTTTGTAAATGAGTTTGTTTTTACCTACTTTTTAAAAATATTCCACCTGTAAGCTATATCATACAATATTTGTCTTTCTCTGCCTTACTCCATAAGTATGTTAATCTCTAGGTCCAAACATTTTATTGAAAGTAACATTATTTCATTCTTTCTGTGGCTGAAAAATACTCCATTGTGTGTGTGTGTATATATATATATATACACACATACATACATACTATATCTCTATCTATTCATCTGTTGATGAATATTTAGGATGCTTCCATATCTTGAGTATTATAAGTAGTGCCATGAAGAACATTGAGGTCCATGTATCTTTTAGAATTATAGTTTTGACTCTCTGACATAAATCACAGCAAGATCCTCTATGACCCACCTCCCAGAATATTGGAAATAAAAGCAAAAATAAACAAATGGGACCTAATGAAACTTAAAAGCTTTTGCACAACAAAGGAAACTATAAGCAAGGTGAAAAGACAGCCCTCAGATTGGGAGAAAATAATAGCAAA